GAGTGATTTGCTTTGGGAGCTTTTAATTGAAAGATTAAACAAAGCTTACTTTGAGGCTGTGTCTTCAAGCATCTTCAAGACTTTAATGACACCTTATGTTAAGATTTAAGCTAAAAGAAACATGTTTGTTGCTTTTGTTGTGAATAGCTGTTTTGAAGATCTGGTGAAATTCTTGAAAACACTTGTTTTTCAGTAATCTGAGTAATCCCTACTGTACCTGACACCCAGATTTGTACTTTGTTATTTTATGGTTTTTGTCTTGCCTTGAAAAGAATGTATTAAATTGATGAAGAAACTGTAATGTATTAAAGTATAGTGTAGAGCTAAAGCACAAAAGAAATGTAATGAAATAGAAATTCTAGTTAGGTAAAAATCCATTCATTGGGGGGGTTGGGGATATTGTGACCACCTGCTTTGCTCTGGAAAATGCAAAGAAATCCTACTTCTTGGGAAACAGTTATTTTAAGATGAGTGTATGTACTTAGGAAGCTGAGACTTTGTATAGCGCTTGCCTTTTCTGTGAGGCTTCCCTTTCTCCCAGATGGCTTCTTAGGAACAGGGAATCATAAAACCAGAAGAACATGGTACACTCCTGAATACATCAGAAAAAGGCTGTCACGGAAGCACTGCAGACTTTCATAGGACTGCCATATGCTAGCATAAAAAAGTGTGCTTCCTCCTCTGTGAATGCCGAACATCCTCACAGGGCAGAAATGATGCGTAGTAGCCAATCTATCCAAATAACTCTCAACCGCTAAGTTGCTCTGAGTGAACTAATGGGGAAATTTAAAAGCATTTTAATCTTAAATTTGGAGGTGTGTGTCAGGTTCTGGGTACCTTTGAAAATCATAAAGGTTTTGTGTGACCCTGTATTCTTCCTTAGAAAGGCTCTTTGAGGCATTTAAAAGACTTGAGGGCTCAAGTGCTTTGGAGGCCAGATTGGAAGTGCAAATACTTGCTAGGGTCCCTCTGTCACAAAGCTGCTATGCTCCAGTGTCCATATGCCACAGGGTGTGTGTGCGTGATGACCACAGGATTATTAGCTGTTTGTCTGCCAGTCTTTCATTCTGAAGTCTGTTATGATTGCAACAATTTAGGGAAAAGTAAGTGCAGGATAGATAAAGACTGCAAGGTGCATGTATCCTTTTGCTTTGGGACCGTTTCTAATGGTGTATTCCTGAAAAAATTTCAAGGGCTTTGCTGAAATGCTTGAATGCTTGAAGATATGGATGTAATTAATCTTCTTTAGTGGTTTGTGTTGACAGTGTCAATTTAAGTTAACCCCTGTCGCTTTTAGAAAATGGGATGAAAAAACCATTATTCTAACGTTTAGGAGAGTTTCAAACTGAAGTTTTTCTTGCAGTCTTGCCTTATTCTAACCTCATTGAAAAACAGAAGTGAAAAAAGAAGGGGGAGGGGAAAGTGTGTTACTTTCCCCTTATCTGCAAATACAAAGTTTCCTGTATACCCCCTTGGATAACTCTGTACTCAGTTTACTATCAAACTGTCTTGTGTAAGACTGGTCTGTACCCGTGGCCTTGTGCAGCTCCTTGGACTGGTGAAGACTACTTTCTCCTCTTGCCTCAGAGCTAGGAATCAGTTACTGAGCTACTTGAGGCAGGTAGAAGGGTCAGTTCAAAAGCCTGCGCTGCATTTGTTGAGCCACAAATTTGACATGTAATTTGTTTAGTAGCAAATTCTCTCCATATCATGACCAGAATTTCTGAAAACTTGCTTCTGAGCAACATGAAAAACTGGTCTGTAAAATAACTCCTGCCTAGAGTGACATATGGTGTGCTTGTATGACTCTTGTCCACCTCATCTACCCTATATCTCTTTTGTTTGCTTTGCTAATTCTTCTGTGCTGTTTGTTAAAGGAAGGATTAGATTCTAAGATATCAAGTTTAACCCTGAATGAACATGGTATCCCTGTGATCTTTCCTGTGATGATGGTTTTGGACTGAGTGTATTATGCCACACATACCAGACTAGGACAGTGAAATTGGTCCAGATGTGAAATAGTTTGTCATTACAGTACAATAGAAGGTTTGGAATCCCAGAACACCTTCAATAGATTCAAATTGAAAAATAAACTATCAACTTGTCTTATAATTTATTGCATGGTCTCAGACCTATGTTTATGGTGCTTGTTCTATATCGAGACTTTTCCTCTTGGCTGTTATCTTAATTAACAGGATGTTTGGGAGGTTTCTAGCCATGCTTCATGTAGTATTAATTTGAATTGTTTCTGCCATGCAAGTGAGGCAAAATTGTGTGCGCTAGAATCCTCTCTAAAGCTGCAGGTCATTAAATTTGTCAGGTTTTTGGGATTGGTAGGGCTTCATAGGTATGCTTGTGAAATGTTTTTCACTTATTCTTTAGGTTGTGGCTTTGTAAATTGTTGTGAGATTGTTTTCTGAATAAAGGGATGACAGGTGTTGTCAGTCTAGGAATGTTTAATTTTACCATATGCAAATAACCTTGAAGGTAAATCTGGATTCTGTTTAGAGTGGGTTAATTTTTATTACAGCCGAGATGTGGTCCTGCTCCATGTTTCTCAGTTCCAAAAGGAGCAATTGGAACTCTGTTGTCTCGAGAGAGAGATCAAGTGTTCCTGGAGCTCAGGACATGGGACATTTGAAGCACAAGCAGCCTGTTTACTTCTCTCAAGAAGAGCCATAGCTCTTTAAAGCGCCTTCCTTCTTAAATAACCAAAAAAAGGCATCTTCAAGATAAATAAATACTCCGATTAAGAAATTGATTGAGAAAAGAGTTGAAAACCTCAGTTTTCAGAAAATGTACTCTGAGAACTTCTTTTAATTGAAAAGCTGGGCTTTCAGCTGAACAAAATAGAAAAGCATTTGAGTGAGTGCTTGCAAACTGAACACTTGGTCTGACATTTTCTGTGTAAGTCTAGGAATAACTACAAATGAAGTTGGGTGTGTTTGGAGGACCTGTTCGTCTGTTCTGACAATTATGCTTTCTTCTAACTTAAAACATAGTATAGAACTAATCTTGCAGTACAGAATGTTCTGAAATATGTTTGTGTTCAAATAATGTCATCTTCTTTGTGGCTATTGGAATTTAATTATTAGCAGAATTTTGAGGTGAGTCATACTATTGCATGGGAAGCCTTTCTATGACAAATACTCTGTATTACAAGGATAAGTCCTTTAACCCCCCCAATGATAGTAATATTTTCATTGCAAGGCAAAATTCTGAAGGCTGTGTATTGTACAAATTAAACCTTTTCTAATGAAGTGATGATGGGCAAATAGAAGATTATTTTTTTTTAACATAAAATTACTCAGTTTCACTTTTTCATGACACATTACTTCTGTTCGTTCCAAAGCTGAGAATTGTTTGAGAGTGGTCTTGTTTAATGTTTAGTCATTTGTTTTTCTGCTTTCTATGAAGTATTACTAAATTCAGCATCTCCATTCTGGGATGGTTTCAGTAAGGCATTTGGTTTGTTTTTGTGGTTGGTTCTTGGTTGGGTTTTGTTTGTGTTTTCAATTGATACATGGACACAGATAACAGATAACTGTTAACTTCTGTGTAATAAAGCTGGTGTATAAAGTGAGAGTGCATTGACTCATGTCTAGCTGTAGGGTTCAATCCTGTTAATACGCGTTAGAGATTGCAGCTATGCTGTGGCTGCCACCTTTATATTTCTGCTTTGTAGCCTTCTGCAAGCTGAGTCTTACCAGCTTCCATTTCTTTTTATTGTTTTGAAATTTCTAATAGTCAGAATCATGCTAATGCAAATTGGTATGGAAGTACTAAACCAATAAATCTGTTTTTCTGTGCAAACTCTTGATCTTACCCATTTCTATATGTGCTTCCCTTTCATTACTTATATAAATGAGCCTTTAATAAAATCTGTAGTAACATTTAATCTTAATCCTTTGGTAGACTAGAAGAAGCAAAAATTACTTGCTGCCTCAATTTGTATTTGCATTGATGTGACTGGAGTTGACCAGTTTATGGGACTAGTGAGTGCATTTTTATAATGTCTATTGCAGTGGGAATTCACTACCTTATTAAAGCTGAACTTTCAAAAATTAATTTGTGTATCCTTTTCCACCTTCTGTTCTTTGATGGTGTTCAGTACATCAGAATTAATGAAATAGCTATTAGTTAATGCCAAGGTCTGTGAAAGACAATCTTTAACAATGGTTGATCATGCATTGTAGAATTTTTGGAGCATTTGGCATGTGCCTTGTGGAAGGGAAAAACCAGAGATATAACAATCTGACATGGTGAAAGCAGAGCCATCAGGTGCATGCAAATCATTAGTCTTTGGTGATGAATGTAGATGAAAATGTGCTATTTTTGACCCGAAAACCTGCTCTACAGTAATTCTAGTGTTTTTTAATCAGAACATATGTGGCTGAGAATATGACTTGCTACCAGTTGAGCTTTCTTTGCTTGCTTCTCTTGCAGTCCACTGTGAATATTTTGCATCCAGTAGTACTGTCTAATTTGAATATGATCTACAGTATGGCTATCATTCCTTTGTTACCTGTTTATGAAGCTATAATCATAAGAATGACACTTTTTTTCCCTCCTCTGGTCTGTTTAGCCCAGGCTTTCAGAAAGGAGGTTGGAAAGCACAGTGACTTTATTTGCTATTGCAGTGATATATTACTGAGGGTGGATGATAGAAGAGATAGCAGTTACAGGGATAAAAAAAAAATATCCAAGAGCCAATCTGTTCTAGCTAGTTCTTTGGGCTTCCCTCCTAACAAAGAGTTGACACCCTTTCCCCTCCAACCCTCCCCCCCCCCCCCCCCCCCCCCCGCTTTTTTTTGGTAAGAATTATTATTTTACAGCTGAATTTGGTATCTATGACCTCCCGGCTATGTGAGGTGAAGGACATGTACACATACAGAAATTTAAGCCCATTCTTTTTCTTGGAAGCTTTATATTCTAGTGCAACAGTAGATAATATTTCTGGTTTTTGTTTTGTTTTTTTTTTCCTCCCCCCCTCCCTTTAGATCCCTGCAGTTCACTCAGCCCACCGTGCTTTACTGAGGAGGACCGATTCAGTCTAGAAGCTCTCCGCATGATCCATAAGCAAATGGATGATGACAAAGATGGTGGTATTGAAGTAGATGAAAGTGATGAGGTAGGAGTAAAAGCCTTCACTTATGCATACATGAGGTCTGTCTGTTTTAGATAGCTGCTCATGTTCCAGCACTTTAGTTGTTACTGTTTTTCTTAATTCAGACCTTCCCACAGCCAAATGTAGAAGGAAAGTCTAACTTCTAGAACTGTCTGAAACTGAATATTATTGTCCCTTGTTCTAGCCTAAAGGAAAACTTCATACAACTATGTATAAAAGCTGTTATTTTTGTGATTAGTGTAAGAGGCAGGCAAATGGTGTTGGTTTAGCTTGCGGTGAGGTTGATGTGATCTGCCACCTCATATTTTAATTTGTTTGCTCCAAGATTTTCCTGCTTAAGTCATCATTGGTCTTTGCTGTTTACTTTAGATCTGTTCCTGGCACTTCATGGTGCAAAGTAATACCTGTTACAGGCAGCAGTTAAGAAAGGTGTGGCTTGTTTTTTTTTTTTTTAAATGTGTTTTTGCTTACATTTTATGGGCAAGTAGGAAGTGCCTCCTAAGGAAGGTTATATGGACCTACCTGAAGTTTTTTGTGACTGCTTGAATGAGTTTGGTAGGCAGGCTTCTAATGGTCCTGGAAAGGGCTTTGTGCTTATCATAGAATCGTGGAATGGTTTGAGTTGGAAGGGACCTTGCAGATCATCATCTAGTTCCAGACCCCTGCTGTGAGCAGGGATACCTGACAGTAGACCAGGTTGCTGAAAGCCCCATCCAGCCCAGCCTTGAACATTTCCAGGGATGGGGCAGGCACAGCTTCTCTGGGCAGCTGCTTCCAGTGCCTCACCAATCTTGTAGTGAAGAATTTCTTCCTAATACCTAATCTAAATCTACCCTCTTTCAATTTAAAGCCCTTCCTCCTTCTCCTGTTGCTATATACCCTTGTCAGAAGTCCCTCTCCAGTATTCTTGCAGGTGCCCTTTAAGTACTGAGAGGCTGCTCTTACGTCTCACCGGAGCCTTGCCTTCTCCAGGCTGAGCAAACCCAGCTCTCTCTGCCTGTCTTCATAGGGGAGCTGCTCCAGCCACTTCATCATCTTTGTGGCCCTCCTCTGGACTTGCTGCAACATGTCCATGTCCTTTTTAAGTTGGGGCTGTATGCAGTACTCCAGATGTAGTCTCACAAGAGCCAAGGAGTAGAGTCACCACCCTGAACCTGCTGATCACAGGCAGGTCTCAACTTTACCACTGGGGTTCTTAGAGTTGCTGGGTAGGAATTGAAACATCTATGTAGTTTCATTGTTCTTGCTTATTTTGCTTTCTGGCAGTTGTCAGGTACAGGCTTGAGAAAGGAAGGGGAGCGAAGAGGGTATTTACATGTGGTTCTGAAGCCCATTTTCACTGGAGGTGAGTGGGAGAAGTATCTACTGCTGATTTTTCTTCCCGTTTTTGTAACATCTCTGGGAAGACTGTTTTCCCTGAAAAAGTTGTCAGTTATCACTGTCAAGTTTAACGTGATGCTATTTACCTTTCTGTGTGACTATGTACAAACAGCATCAACAGTGACTGATGCTTTGTTGCTAGGAGTTTTGTGAAGGAATATGGTACAATGGAGAGAATGGTCCAGAATAATGTAACTTTGGAGGGAAAAAATCTGCTCTGTACCTTAACGAGTGTCATGGTGTGAGGTAGTTCAGATGCTAGAAGCAGACTATCTCTGTTACTGCAGAAAGGTTGGTTAGCCAGTAATGTTTGGGACAGGCACAATCCAGTCTGCAAACTGAAACATTAGTGATGGAGTGTAAGCTTACTTGAGGAGTTTCTCAGCACTATGTGATTCTCTTGACTTGTGCTGTATTTGTTAAGAAAGTTAAAAGAAAACACTGAAATACCTATGCATTGGAAAAATTTTATTAATAATCAAATGATCTGTCCTGGTTTCAAGTGGACCATCTTTATATCTGACCTTAAGTTTCTCTTTGTTCCAGTGAAATGTCAAGGTAAACCTCAGCATCAGAAGCTGCTCTTGAAATCTGTTAAAATGACTGAAATTAGAACAGTTCATGGGGGATGCTGCGTTTCATCTGCAGTCCCTTTTTCCTAATGCTCATCATGCCCTGTTTTATGTTGTAGTTTGTTTTTCCTCTGTAAAATGAATCCTTACATAAAAGCATTCTATAGAGGAAGAGTTTCTTTAGAATATAAGAAAATTTTACCTGTTACTAGAAACTTATTTCCTCAAAAATTGTATTATACTAGAAGCCTGTTGGATGTACCTTGTGTGGACTGGAAAGAAGCTTGTATTTGACCTTGATGAAATTGATGTGGGGAAACTTGATCTGAATTTTTAACACTGGATCTATTAGCCATTGAAACACATAAGGGATTTGTGAAAGTCTTCTAAGGAAGATAGAGGGGTTCTAGTTTGAGCATGGACTGGTTAGATATGCTTTTTCCTTATTATTTAGTCTCTTACCTGAGTTAGACTTGATGGTATAACTTAAGATATTTATAGTGATAAAAAAACCCTGAACTTTCAAAATCACTAGAAGATACTTTCCTAATTCTAATTATTACAAAATACTTGGGGGAAAAGTGCATTTTGACATTACTACTCATATTTTTTTTTTCCGTTCAGGTCAGGATTCATGTAACTTTCTAGTACTAGCCCTGATTTTCTTAGGGCAGGCTAATATAAATTTTTCTATCAAATCTATCTTCTGTTGTTACTTCTTAGCATACAAAAGATTGCAATTGATTAAACTTGTTTAGAGTTAGGCTGTAAAAGGGTAACTGAAAGGGAGGACACATTACTGAGGTTTTAGTCATGTGTTGTGGGAGGCTATCTGCCTCAGGAAGCATCTGTTCCACCATGTGTACATGATTCGTTTTAATGACGAAGAGGCACAAGCAGTAAGGCTTATCATATGTTCACTATTTACATAGGTTTTTCCTATTTCCAAAGAGCTTTTATATGTAGAGACTACATAAAGCAATTTTCTCAAGGAATCTCACTTTACAAATAGAGTAAGTTTATGTTTTGAAATACTAATCATCTTACTGTGTGTTTAATGTCATAGAATCATAGAATGGTTAGGGTTGGAAAGGACCTTAAGATCATCTAGTTCCAACCCCCCTGCCATGGGCAGGGACACCTCACACTAAACCATCTCACCCAAGTCTTCATCAAATCTGGTCTTGAACACTGCCAGGGACGGAGCATTCACAACCTCCCTGGGCAACCTATTCCAGTGCCTCACCACCGTAACAGGAAAGAATTTCCTCCTTATATCCAATCTAAACTTCCCCTGCTTAAGTTTTAACCCGTTGCCCCTTGTCCTCTCACTACAGTCCATAATGAAGGGTCCCTCCCCAGCATCCCTATAGGCCCCCTTCAGATACTGGAAGGCTGCTCTGAGGTCTCCATGAAGCCTTCTCTTCTCCAGGCTGAACAGCTCCAACTTCCTCAGCCTGTCTTCATACGGGAGGTGCTCCAGTCCCCTGATCATCCTCGTGGTCCTTCTCTGGATTTGTTCCAACAGTTCCATGTCCTTTTTATGTTGAGGACACCAGAACTGCACACATGTTATCCTTAACATCCCTAGCCAAGTTTAATTCTAACTGGGCCTTGGCTTCCCTAACCTGGTCCCTAGCTTCCCAGACAACATCCCTGTACTTTTCCCAGGCTGCCTGTCCTTGCTTCCTCCTTTTATAAGCCTCTTTTTTCATTTTCATTTGAATTTTCCTCAGCAGCTCCTTATCCATCCAAGGAGGTCTCCTGGCCCTCCTGCTGCACTTCCTTCTGGTTGGGATGCAACACTCCTGAGCTTGTAGCAGGTGATCCTTGAATATCAACCAAGAGTCTTGGCCCCCCCTGCCCTTTAGGGCTGTATCCCATGGAACCTTACTAAGTAGGTTCTTGAAGAGGCCAAAGTCTGCTCTTTTGAAGTCCAGGGCAGTGAGCTTGCTGCACGCTCTTCTCACTGTCCTGAGGATCTCAAATTCGAGCGTCTCGTGATCGCTGCATCCAAGGCTGCCCTGGAGAGTCACATTTCCAACGAGCCCTTCCCTGTTGGTGAGCACGAGGTCAAGCATGGCACCTCTCCTTGTCGGCTCCTCTATTACTTGCAGCAGGAAGTTGTCTTCCACACAATCGAGGAACCTCCTGGATTGCTTGTGCCGGGCTGTAACATCGTTCCAACAGATGTCAGGGTGGTTGAAGTCACCCATGAGAACAAGGGCCTGTGAGTGTGAGGCTTTTCCTATCTGTCTGTAGAGTGCTTCATCCACAGGTTCTCTTGATAAGGCGGTCTGTAACAGATCCCCACAGTAATGTCTCCCATCGCTGTTCTCCCTTTAACCCTGACCCACAAACTCTCTGTGGACTGCTCACCTGTCCCCAGACAGAGCTCCATACTCTCCAGCCTATCCCTAACACAAAGGGCAACTCCCCCTCCCCACCTGCCAGGCCTGTCTTTTCTAAAGAGCCTGTAACCTTCCATTCCAACACTCCAGTCATAGGAGCCATCCCACCATGTTTCTGTGATGCCTATTGTATCATACCCCTGTAGACGTGCACACATCTCTAATTCCTCTTGTTTGTTCCCCATGCTATGGGCATTTGTGCAGAGGCATCTGAGCCGAGCACCAGCTGAAGCCGTCTCATTGGCTGGAGCAGCTGGAATGTATCTACATTTCTCTGAGCATTTATTGTAGGTGCTGGCAACTGACTGGGTGTGTTGGGATGGAATGATGCACCCCTCCCTCAGCACATCTAGTTTAAAGCCTCCTTGACCAGTCTGGCAAGCCTCCTACCAAAACTGCTCTTTCCCTTCCTTAGAGCAGCTCCACCAGCCCCCACTAGACCTGGCCTACAAACTCGGGTCTTGTGTTCAAGACACCCAAACCCCTGACTATGACACCACCCTTTTAACCATTTATTAACCTGGCTAATCCTCCTAGCTTTTTTTAGGTTCTCCCCTGTATCCAGGAGAATTGACAAAAAGACTATCTGAGCTCCAGAGCCCCTAACCACCTCCCCAAGGCTCTGTAGTCTTTCTTTATG